TTCAAAACAGCTTCGAGGGTTAGAGGATCAATAGCTGCGACAGTCTGTCAGTGAAACACAATAGCAGAATCCTATTTGAGATGCATTTGATGTTGTTGATGTGGACCAGCATAAAAATCTGTGCTGGGAGAATCTGTCAAGAGGTTTTGGATGTTTTGTGTGATATGTTTTTTCCCTCTTCCAGCTTGGGAATAGTTTAGTAAAGTTTGGTAGACCTAAAGGACCATCTGCTGCTGAAGCTGCAGATTAAATCAGACTGATTTGTGGTAAAACAAATCTACAGATGTTGGTTATCCAGTCAGCTGAGAGCTGTGCGATTGGTACTTCTGTTGGTTTTAGGTGATTAAAGAATTAAATATGTGGCAGTGTCGGTTGCATCATGTTCATTCTCCGGGTAGCCGGCATGTTGTCCTGCCTGCAGAGCATGTTCACTCCAAACATAACATAGAACCCTACTGTAATCAAGTTGATGTTGTGCAGCTATAGGGGCACCTTTCTCCCAAAAAAATCAAATTTGAGATTTTTAAAAAAAAAAAGAAGGAAAAAAGGAAAAGTTGGCCCAAACTACATGTGAATGGTTTCTCTGGAACCCTGAGGACTGCAACTAAATCCACTGAAATGGCACACAGAAAACCTAAACTGTTAGTTTATGTCACTCAAAGTTTTGCATGACTTGTATGAGGGAACATCAGAATGATAAGTTTCTGTTAAGTCAGATTTATGTCATGAAGCGACTGTCACACAGTGATACGGCCCTAGCCCTTATAATAACAGTTAACATAGTTTGTCATATTCACTCGGTAGATCACTTTCTTGTATAGCAAAAAAGCAAAATGATAAGGTGGTTTCTGAGCAGCAGTTCCTACAGTGTGAATCTGCTAAAAGGCACTGATCATTTCCAGAATGCCTTCGCCCCCTGTTGACCTCTTTTTAAATGCATGGTTTGTCAATGAGCTGAGATAGCTAGACTGCAAGTGAAATAAAAAAGTATTAATGCTACTTTAGAAGCATGCTTTTCTGTCTCATTCTGCCCCATAGCATAAAAATCCCATTGGTTGATTGAACAGGGAACCTTTTGAAATGCAACCAACCAGTGCTGAGCTGGGCTGCTTGAGACGCTCAGCAGGGATTTTTCAGACCAGCGTCCCACCCTCTCTCTGAAGTGATGGGAGGTGTTTGCCCTTTTTTAGCAGTGGAATCAGATCAGAACAAAATAACTCCACTGACCTCAAAAACTGTCCTGCCTCGCTCTTATTTTTGTTTGCCTGTGGCAAAACTTGTCTCAAAACAAAATTCATTGTTAATTTGGTTTCTCTCAGACCAAATTTCAAGGTGTCCACAAAGAGCAGAACTTCGAGGGAGGATTTTCTTTGGTGAAATGTAAAACTGAGGAAAAACAAAAGAAGCAAAAGAACAAACATATTCAGAGTAACAGATGAATATTTGCTGGCAATTATTTTTATAACAAGTGTACATTACATCTTTGACAGATGCTATTTGCTGTATACATATGCTGAAATGAGATGACGACGATGACCCCTGTGGGACTTTTGCAGCAACAGCAAGGTCCAGCATACAAAGTTTCAGTAATGTGCAATACAAAACAGCATGCTGTTTTAAAAAGAGGAACTTCGTGTACTGTACTATGCAACTGCAAACCGTGTACATCGCTCCATGCTGTGACTTCTCCAACCACCCTTTTCCAAACAGCTTCATCTGGACTTTTAAGGGATTTTTTTGTGTTTCTTGTTTTTCTTTTTTCTGTGGAAGATGAAAACCTAAGCAGCTAATGCGGTATTGCATGCATAATATACCATTCTAATTTATAAAAAGGAATTAAAGAAAGAAAAATGACATCAGAGGTAATTGTGTTTAAGGTCAAATATTTCTTTTACAAAATAAAAGTCATTCTAAGGTTGTCTAAAGTTTGTTTTTGAATGTCACAAATGTCAAATTGTGTCACAAAACTGGAGATTGAAAGGTTTCTGAAAAAAAAATCACTATTTGATGTATCATTCTAATGCTTTGATTTGTGGTCTCTTAAGTGAGGACACCTGAAATGGTGTGATTCCCGACATAGTGGTGGCCAGCAGGTACTTCTGTGAGCTGTGAGCTTAAACTTCAGCCCTGTTTGTAGCCTACTTTTTGTTTCCTTTTTGGCAAACTCTCAAACATGCAGAATTAGCTGTTTGCAACTGATTAATTTATTTAGAGACAACTATCATTGGATCACTTTGATACTGAGGAAAACTTAAAACCCTGACCTTTCTGACTCCTAATTGGATTTATGGAAGTTTATTCAGGAAGAATGACCACATCCTTGAATATTTTAATTGAGACAGAATCAAAAGCATATTTTATGATTGTGTGTTAAGATATGAACATTGGATAGTGAAGCAGAACTTTATTTATATAATGAGCTCCTGCAAACAAGCTCACACATTATCTGAGTAAAATGCCTGACAAAGTTCAAATAGGTTTCACAGTGATGCAGTGTGGTCAGAGTGCCACACATCATAAAGCACATTCACAATGTTCAGTATAAAATGTAAAAATATAAAGTGGAAAGAATATCTGAGTGTAAAAGCAAAGCAGTTCTGCCATGCGAAGCAGCTTTCTATCAAAATGTCAGGGATGGAATCAACCTGAGGACTTCACATTATTCAACTTTCAGTGTTGAGTTTCATGCAGTCTTCATTTCCCTCTGCAGTGTCTGCTTCCTCCTTCTCAGCTGACTTCATCTGCAGTGCCAATGTCTCCAAGATGTTGTTCTTCTGCTGCTTCTCTTTCCTCTGCCTGTCCCTCTGCAGCACCATGCACTGTCGGGTAGGAGGTTTAGCAAATGGTTTTAAGTTATCAAATATGCTCTCAGGCCTAAAGATTCTTTTACAGCCATGCACAAACAGCTTGCTGTGAAAAACTAAAATGCTGATATGTGCTCAATAAATATGTAGGCTTCTTACAGGATGCTTCAAATTATAAATGGGATAACATTTTTTAAATATTCTGAATAGGAACCAGCATTAAAATGTTGCTCCAAATAACAACATGGGACACATAAAAAGATGGTGGCTGTACTACAGATCAAATCTCTTTGGTGTAGGAATTACTATCACTGTGAGAAACCCTTGGTCTGACACACATCAGGGACAGTGAACTCACCATCTCCACCACAGTCAGCAGGGCTGACAGGCAGGCCACAGAGAACATGATATTCATGAAAAGCGTCTTCTCATTTGCCTGGGAGATGAAACAATCGACTCTGTGGTGACATAATGTGGAGTACACGGAGATGTTGGTAGACAGGGAAAACCCAAAAGTCACAGCTTGCCCCACTGCAAATGCCACCTGGAGGCAGAGAAAAGCTGAACATCAGCTGTGGAGTGCATAAATTAATGCTCATTTTCATGTTAAATGACACTTTGACCTGTCACACGGTGAGTATCAGGCCTCCGTAAATCTGCTGGGCCTCATGACAGGCGACACCTTGTCTAGCTGTGACCTACCACAGTAAATAATCAGCAGCCTGAGCCTCATATTGATCATTTAGTAACAGTAAGAAAAATGCAGTAACATGGCAGGAGTATTTTTAAGTACTGTCACTGAGTGAATCTTTGTAAATGAATAGAAATGTACAGGGTCATTTGTATTGTAAATTTCACATGTGAACTCTTACCTGTAAGCTACATGTCAAATCGGGGATAAATAAACCATGAATAATTAAATAAATATATTTTGTTTCGGTGTGTGTAGACTCACCTCCAGCAGAAACACAGCTGACAATTGGCCCAAATATGCCCCATTGACATAACTTTTATCCTGAGCTCCTGGAGCCTCCTGATAGAAAAGCAAATGAAAAAAGAGCACCATCACAATCAGAGCCAAAAGTAAATAGCACAAGATACTGAGAATTTAGTAAAGAGTTTAGAGAGGACATAGGCTACTTGTATTTGTATTTAAACACTCTCTGAAAAACTACTCTCATTTTATTTGTAAGTCGTACGTTAAGTACCTGTTTCCCTTTGAAGACAAGGTGGACCAGATAACAGAAGAAAATCAGAGCAGGAGCCAAAACAAGAACCACCTGAAGATAAAGTACATGGAATACAATTTCATTAGCAGTAAAAGCTTATTTATTATCAGTGAGACCAGAAACTTCAGAACACCAGAGTTTCACATCACCATAAAACCTTAGCACTGATACCTGCAGCGTCCAGTAATGGTGCAAGGGGAAGAAGGAGGCTTGGTTGAAGGCAGTTTGGCTGCAGCCTGGCTGCAGAGTGTTGCAAATAAAGTCATTGAAGTCTTTGTGCCATACTGGCTGCACAGCTGCCCCAAGGATCACAAGCCGCATTAGCTGCAACACCGGGAGGACGGTTCTACCTGAGAGAGAAGAAACATGTCTCATTTCATATGAATGCATGTTTCCTATATTTAAGTGCCACTTCTAACTAACTAACTAACTAACTTGGCTTGTTATTTCCTGTCAGTACCTAAGAGACCGGCATGGGAGTGCCACAGGCTCAGCAGCTGGCTAAGGAAACACTGCCTCTCCTTAACCTGTGACGTGGACCGCAGGGCCTTTGCTCCATCCGGCTGCCTCTGCCTGGCTCTACACAGCACACAGACCAACTCCACCACACAGAGCAGCAGGGAAGCGCAGGATGCTGCTAACATAATACCCAGGAATGCTGTCTTCTCCCATGCATGGGGACTGGCACAATCTACTCTGAATGGACATGGACTCACGCTACAGAGCTGATCATTCCTGGCCTGAAAGCCAAAGACTATTGGCTGTGCCACAGTAAATCCAACCTGTAACAGAAACATAATCCATGAAAGTGCAAACAGCTTTACCATCGTCTACATGCTTCTTGTATTACTTTGTTGTAATGTTTACAGATTTTTTAAGTGTGCACATGTCTCACCTCTACCAGTATGACAGAAACCATGCAGGCCAGGTATGCCCCCAGAGCATGACCTTTGACCTCTCCATCTCCCCTCCTCACCTTTGGCAAAACAGAACATCACTGGTAGATGATGCTTGATTATAATCCAATTAAAAATATGTGCCATTTTTTCAACAACACGGCTTGTAATTCTTTAACGATATATGCAATAAAATGTCTAAAATCCACAGAACAAAACAGAAAAGCTGCAAAATATTTACTCACCTTTAAATTCAAGAAACTATTGACAAATATCTACAATCTCTTTCACTTGTGAGTTTTAGATTTAGTGTTTTTGTTTTCACATACAGCACATTGTCCATGTATATCCTGTCACCTGGTTTTCCTGGATGGTGAGGTGAATCAGGTAGCAGAGGAAGACGAGACCAGGAGCCCAGACCAGAACCAGCTGGAGAGAAATGAATGCTGCTGTTAATGTGATTCCTCACCATTCTGTGTACAGCTTGTTCACTACAGAAGGTACATAAACTCATCTTGGTTTCATATTTTTTGAGACCAATGTCTGCAACCATAAAGCAAGCAAACAAACAAAAAAACTAAACTAAACTAAAAGATTTTTAAAAAGCCACACTCTGAGTGACAAAACAAACAAATGACAAAGTTATTATTCAGAATTTGGTCTTAAAGCAGGTGGGAACAATGCTCTGGCTGAGGGAGAGGTTGAAGATGGTGGTGAGAACATCAACCAGCTCACTGGCACATGCCCTGAGAGCCCTCCCAGGGATGTTGTCTGGTCCTGCTGCTTTGCGGGAGTTGATCTTCCTCAGGACTTGGCATACCTGGCCTGGTGAGACATTAGTGGAGGGGAGGTGGGGGGTCGGGTGGTCCATGTGTGTGTGTGTGCTTCCTCTCTGTGCCATAGCTGGAGGAAGTGGGTGTAGAAGGTGTTGAGGTCATCCGGGCATCCGGCAGGCTGTCTATGGGGCTGATGATGCTGGTGTTGGTCCTGTAGTCCGTGATGTGCTGCAGTCTTTGCCATATCTGTCCGGAGTCAGCCGTAGAACTTGGCAACTTTAACCAGTGCAATCTATGGACTGTATTCCCGCAAAATTACCAACATGTGAACATTCCCACTTGTTACAAGAACACACTGGATCATGTTTACAGTAACATACGTGGTGCCTACAGGGCTGCACCCCGCCCCCACCTTGGGCGCTCTGACCACATTTCTTTGTTCCTGTATCCAGCTTACAGACAAAGACTGAAACAAGCAAACCCAGTCACCAAACAAATTAAACTCTGGACCCCAGAGACTGAAGGCACCCTGCAGGACTGTTTCACCCAGACAGACTGGGATGTGCTTAAAGCTGCAGCCACCTCAGAGGACTTTTCTGTCAGCGTACAGGACTATGCTGAGTATGTGACCGGGTACATTAGTACCTGTATTGACAACATTATGCCCACCATACAAGTCAGGAGGTTCCCCAACCAGAAGCCCTGGATAAACAGTCAGGTGCGCCACATGCTGCGTGCTCGCTCTCATGCATTCAGATCAGGTTTGGCCAAGTATGTGACGCACACAAGGAATTTGTTTTCGGTACAGCCATCTGCGGCGCCAACTGCAGGCACCGAGATTCGAACCTCTGTGTGTCCTTCAGGTTTAAAGATGGACTCCCCTCTCCTGATGTCTGGTCAGCTGCTTCACTCATTGTTTCTACACAGTGGGTCAAATACACCAGTGGACCTTAATAGAAAATGTCAAAGTGCACACTTCTAAAAGAAAGTCTGACAATAAAGAGTCAAGAGTCACAATGAAGTAGGTAAAAAAATACATTTCTATGGACGCACTTCATTGTCCGTGTATATTACTGATATGTTGTTGTTTGATGATTGTGTGGTTATTACTGGCTCTACAACAACTTGCCCCTTGGGGATAATAAATGACAATCAAGACCAAGATATGCATTTAACAGAGACATAATGTATGAAGATTGACAGGGTAAAAGTATAAAGTCTAAAAGTGTATTTATAAAAAAGGGCTTGGTGTTAGGATTGGCACTAGTGTTGAGTAGTTTTAGATGTAATGGTGTAATGCACCAATGTACACTTACTATAATGTGCTTACAGAATATACAGTTTGAAGTATTTGTACTTTACTTATTTTCTTTTCATGTCACTTTATACTTCTACTACAGTTATAGAGTTATATGGGATTTGGTACCTGTTGCATGTTTCAGGCTTTAGCCACTTTCCACTTATAACAAATTCTGATAATTGACGTTTCTGTGTAACCAGCGGTCATAGACCAGCTACTCTCTTCAGCAATGGGTGTTCCAGTTTGATGTAGATGGCTTCTTTCACTCCTCTTTCAAACTACCTCTCTCCTCTGCTCATGGTTCAGAACATTGCCAACAACAAGCTCTGCCCTGAGTCAGTACCGTGTGAGTCCTAACAACAGCTTCCAATCTACTAAATTACTAAGTTAAAATTTGAGCACCCCTGAAACCAGGAGATACTACCAAATTACCAACAAACTGACTCTGATAAAGGTCAAAAACTGGTTGTTCGTCTTGTCCTTCAGATGGTCACTCAGGGCTGAAGCTGATGGAGCTCAGCCCTCCACACTCTGACTGCATTAACACCATAGCAAGTCTCTGCCTCTCACACTCATTCAATTCTAAACTGGATCTGATCTCACTTCTGACCTTTCAGTCCACTTCCACCCTTTAGATTGACCACTGATCCTGGACACCAGCCTGCATCACCACCCAGACCCCGCACCTTGCTCGCACACCATCAGGTGAGTAACTTTTTTTTTGGCTCTTCTAGAGGCAGCAAGGATAGAGCACATGGAACACTAAGCTAACTTAAAACTACAGTATGGAGCCTTTTAAAAAAATATTTTGGTTGTACAAATCTGCTCCAAGCCTCCTGAGCCTCCTGTCACCCAGACTTACTGAACAGCACTGCCAGCAGTGCAGCCATATTAGCTTCATTAGGGATTGACATTTTCAGTTATTTCTGCTTGATCACTAAGTTTTCTTATAATTTCATAACAACAAATATCTGAAGAGCTTGGCAGGGCGTGCCGGAGCGTAGCAGATCGTAGTGGAGCAGGGAGACGGAGCGCTGTAACTTTAAGCTAACTTAACCTAACGTCTGTCATCAGCTTGTGACCCAGCTCATTGTTTGGCTGCACAAAGTTGCTGCGCTTTACGCCACATCTTGTATTGTTCAGCTCAAACTATTCATCTACTTTAGGAGAGAACAACATATACAGGTGCTGGTCATATAATTAGAATATCATCAAAAAGTTGATTTATTTCACTAATTCCATTCAAAAAGTGAAACTTGTATATCATATTCATTCATTACACACAGACTGATATATTTCAAATGTTTATTTCTTTTAATTGTGATGATTATAACTGACAACTAATGAAAACCCCAAATTCGGTATCTCAGAAAATTAGAATATTACTGAATACCAATACAAAGAAAGGATTTTTAGAAATCTTGGCCAACTGAAAAGTATGAACATGAAAAGTATGAGCATGTACAGCACTCAATACTTAGTTGGGGCTCCTTTTGCCTGAATTACTGCAGCAATGCGGCGTGGCATGGAGTCGATCAGTCTGTGGCACTGCTCAGGTGTTACGAGAGCCCAGGTTGCTCTGATAGTGGCCTTCAGCTCTTCTGCATTGTTGGGTCTGGCATATCGCATCTTCCTCTTCACAATACCCCATAGATTTTCTATGGGGTTAAGGTCAGGCGAGTTTGCTGGCCACTTAAGAACAGGGATACCATGGTCCTTAAGCCAGGTACTGGTAGCTTTGGCACTGTGTGCAGGTGCCAAGTCCTGTTGGAAAATGAAATCTGCATCTCCATAAAGTTGGTCAGCAGCAGGAAGCATGAAGTGCTCTAAAACTTCCTGGTATACGGCTGCATTGACCTTGGACCTCAGAAAACACAGTGGCCCAACACCAGCAGATGACATGGCACCCCAAACCATCACTGACTGTGGAAACTTTACACTGGACCTCAAGCAACGTGGATTCTGTGCCTCTCCTCTCTTCCTCCAGACTCTGGGACCCTGATTTCCAAAGGTAATGCAAAATTTACTTTCATCAGAGAACATGACTTTGGACCACTCAGCAGCAGTCCAGTCCTTTTTGTCTTTAGCCCAGGTGAGACGCTTCTGACGCTGTCTGTTGTTCAAGAGTGGCTTGACACAAGGAATGCGACAGCTGAAACCCATGTCTTTCATACGTCTGTGCGTAGTGGTTCTGGAAGCACTGACTCCAGCTGCAGTCCACTCTTTGTGAATCTCCCCCACATTTTTGAATCGGTTTTGTTTCACAATCCTCTCCAGGGTGCGGTTATCCCTTTTGCTTGTACACTTTTTTCTACCACATCTTTTCCTTCCCTTCGCCTCTCTATTAATGTGCTTGGACACAGAGCTCTGTGAACAGCCAGCCTCTTCTGCAATGACCTTTTGTGTCTTGCCCTCCTTGTGCAAGGTGTCAATGGTGGTCTTTTGGACAACTGTCAGGTCAGCAGTCTTCCCCATGATTGTGTAGCCTACAGAACTAGACTGAGACACCATTTAAAGGCCTTTGCAGGTGTTTTGAGTCAAATAGCTGATTAGAGTGTGGCACCAGGTGTCTTCAATATTGAACCTTTTCACAATATTCTAATTTTCTGAGATACCGAATTTGGGGTTTTCATTGGTTGTCAGTTATAATCATCAAAATTAAAAGAAATAAACATTTGAAATATATCAGTCTGTGTGTAATGAATGGATATAATATACAAGTTTCACTTTTTGAATGGAATTAGTGAAATAAATCAACTTTTTGATGATATTCTAATTATATGACCAGCACCTGTAGACTTTCCGAAGTCAAAGCAGTAGTTCAGCCTCAAACATTTCCTGAAAGAATGCAGCGGCTTTGATGTGACCTCTGACCTTTCATCTCCTTACATTGACCACCACTCACCACCCAGGGTTCCCTGCTCAAGCCAGGTCCTTCTACAACTTCGATCAGATGAGTATCCTTTCTTTATTTCTCCTATTGTGTTTACGTGGAGGTAGCAAGGACCGAAGCACATACAACACACATTTGGGTAACTGTACTTCTCCCTCAAATGTTTATTCGATACACACATTCGTGATGGAAGTACAGAAACGTGCCCAAATGTATATTTTGCATGGGCTCTCTTTTTGTCTCCAGGAGGAGGGGGAACTGACCCTTTAAAAAATCATCTGCAAGAAAGTTATGCTTAGAAAGTATTTAAAGTTTCAGTAGCATTTCTTCTTGTCATGCTTTCCTTCTTCATAACCCCAAACTCTCCTCTCTCCCAGGCCTGGGGGACACACGCTCCCCCTGCACTCCAAACCCCACAGCAACGGGCAGGATTCAAACCCAGGCAGACCACATCGAGCACCAGCAAGAGCCCTTCACATTTGAACGTGCGTTTGACCCTATAATTTGAATAGACTTCAAAATTCATTAGAGTCAGGGCAAGACTTGAACCAGTGAGTGTCCAACTCTAGAGGATTTGTCTAACCTCCTGAGCTATCTGCTCTGACAAGTCTATGATCTTTCTCAGTACTTTTCAGTCTTGACTTTGGTCACTGGACTTCAAAAATTCACCTACCTCTGAAACATTTGAACCCGGGTTCTCCAGACTCCCAGTCTTTTCTCTAACCCCTGAGCTACCTGTCCTCATAACTCGAGTATCTTTCTCAGTGCTTCTCAGTCTTTGCTCTAAGAGCCTAAGCTATCTGTTCAAATTTTCTCTGCACTTTTCTAAGTTCACTAACACACTAAAGTCAGAACTAACAACTTTCATACTTCAGCTGACCAACACAGTGAGCCACAGAGGTCAGATGATCATGACTTCTCTTAATCCGAGGTTTTAAAGTACTCCACCCAAACCACTGGACAAAGATGAACCCTTACCTCATCTGAGGCTTTTAAAGACACTAAAACTGTGACTTCACTTGAGTCGCTAACATTCAAAATGTTACTGATTAAATTATGGTTGAACACATTGATCTACAGTGTCTGTCATATTGGCCACCCTGGTACATTTTACAAAATGCTGACCTTCACACTGTGATACTGTGACAGTAACAGGTTTTTTGCTTTGAGATTAAAGATATAATTTAAGAGTATATAAGAGAAATGTTTCCACCTGTAGTGTCCAAAATCGTTCAGCAGACACAGGTGTGAACTCATTGTAACAGGCCACACTACAGCCTGGTTGCTGCGTGTCACACTCGAAGTCCTGCTCATCGTCCACCCAGGCTGTCTGCGCCGCAGCGCCCAGGATCACCATTCTGATGAGCAGGAGCACAGGCAGTACTGCTTTACCTGAGAGCAAAGAGACTCCATTGTAATTCACAATAATCTCTTAGTATGGGGTCTCTCATATAAAAAATGAAGAAACAAATGATGAAAGATACCAATGAAAGTTGCCTGTGATTGCCATTTGCACAGCAGGCTGCTCAGAAAACCCATCTCCTGGATATGCATTGTCACTGTTGAGCTGAGGAAGTGAGATAGGAGGAACATCATGCCTGTGTCCATCTATTACGTGTCTCATAGTATAAACACCAGAATGTTGAAGAGATACAGCTGTGCAAGAGCCTGTATGAGGGAGGTCTGTTCCTGGAACAACCTCCTCCCTTTTCCTGTAACTGTTCACAGATGCGTTCAGTGTTTCTCACTCCAAACAGGACATGTTTAAGTTTCTTAACAGATGGCTCATTGGGGGAGAATAGGCATGCAACCAGAGATACTTTAATTACATGCTTTATACCTTTCATCTTCTGCCACTGCACAGAAGATGCTCCTGAAGGAAGTTTTAAAAACAGCCAGAAAAGTAATGACCTGGTCATTTTGGTGTTATGGTTATAATTTGTTAGATAGAAGCAAAAACTGGAACTTAAGCTCATCCCAGTTCAGATCTTTACTGACCTGTTGTGCAGATACAAACACGTGGAAAAAGTAGTTGTATTAGTACTATTCACAAATACACCAGCCTAATATACTCCATTACATGTAGAAGTCCTGCATTCAAAATTGAACTTTGATAAAAGTATGTAACAGAAGTAAAATTGTATTTTCCACTCATTTTTAAGACCTTTGTATATACACACGGCTACATGCAGTTACAGTACAGCAAAAAAGAGAAGTCACAACATACCTTGCTTCTTTCAGGAAAATGTCGTTGTGCCTCACTCCCACTGTGTCTCACATTAAGTATCAGCTTCTCATGAAATTTTCCTGGATACGTCCTCCCTCTGAGGGAAGTCTGCCAAATATTTTCATTAAATTCACTGGAAACTGATTGTTGGAGTTGACACAAGAGGCTTCCTGCAACCAACATCATCACCACTGTGTTTCTTGCACGTTGTTGGATTCTTGCTTTTCCAAGGGGGACGACATGCAGACATCTGTGCACCATATGTTTCCAGGTCAAAACATTCAGAATACAGAAACAAGAAGAATATCTCATGATATTATGAAATGGGCTGTACAGTGCCTTATGAAAGTATTCGGCCCCCTTGAACTTTGCGACCTTTTGCCACATTTCAGGCTTCAAACATAAAGATATAAAACTGTAATTTTTTGTGAAGAATCAACAACAAGTGGGACACAATCATGAAGTGGAACGAAATTTATTGGATATTTCAAACTTTTTTAACAAATAAAAAACTGAAAAATTGGGCGTGCAAAATTATTCAGCCCCCTTAAGTTAATACTTTG